GGCACAATGAAAGCTACGCAGCCGTCTGAAAACGACCCGCCAAGGTGAATAATACTAATATGTGCAGTTTATAACACAGCAAGAAAAAGAGTGATAGTCTGATTTTATAGATTTGTTTTTAAATATAAACTGTGGCACAGTAAACTGTCTTCAGTGTGGTCATTAGGTATTCTGTATTCATGTTGCACTCTGTCAATAGTCAAGTATGTTGGATGCCAACACAATCAAATCATCAACATCATGACAGGCAGATTATGATCTCTCATAACATCATAGTTGAATTTTTTTTAAATGAGCGGCGGTTCGGTCAGTAAATCTCAAAGACTAAGAATACAGGAGAGTGTAAATCACATAACAGCCCTGTGTGACACATCAATCTTGAATCTGGAGAATGCTCCTCTTCTCCAGATCGTTCATCTCTTTGAGGATCAGAGCCACGTTGTATCGGAGCTCCTGGAATTTAGACACAGGCACCTGAAAAAGAAAACAACAATTCACAGACAATGGTAAGGAGTCCAGTGTGAACACCACTGCACAGCCAAGGTGGAGCTAAAATGTTGATACAGCATTAGGTTACCATGACAGGACGGTGGCCTTCACTGGGATGTTTGGAAGTAATGGCTGAGAGATTATATTGTTAATTGTTACTGTGCATACTTTCTTCTCACTGTCAGCACTTTCACTAAACTTAGTGCTGACTGTTTGCAGGAATTCCAACTTTCTTTTCCATGATTTCATTTTCCTACACACCTGGGTCTTCCGGGTGTGCAGTGTTTAAAAATAGTCACTGAAAAGAGTTTTTCTTGAACGTCTGAAAAAGACTTCACACTAAATGATTCATGCCAGAGTTTGACCTCTGACCTCCCTACAGGGTAAGTTTGGCTACTCGTAAAACAATGTAATCTAAACTAACACACGCATGTGTGGAGGTTTATTTATAGCTACTTTAATTTTCGAGCTCAAGGCTCAAGCAGACTGCGAGTTAACCAGCAGACAGCCGTGTAACTGAACTAAAAAGAAGATACAGCGACTAATTAAAAAGTGCAGCCACGTCTTCTGGAACAGTTCCTGAGGAGCACATATCAGGTGGAGATAAGGTGCATCCATCAATAGAACCCGCACATCGGATGTTGTTTCTACCAATCTTCTAATTCTGCTGTAATCTGATTACATAACCCGACGACAGCCGTAGTGGAAGACCTCCCTCCTGCGTCTGTCCACATTAGTAGCCTACTTTAGAAACCAGCGTCTATCCTGCCGTTATAGAGCAGGTGTGGAGTGTGGCGCCCCCTGTTGAGGGAAGCATTTTACTAACTTGCTGAGGACTTGATTCATTTTGCTGTAGAGTTTCTTTCTGAATAATTCATCACTAATTGCACTTATTTCCTATAATTGCTTATTTGTGAAGTGAGGATTGGGTCTTTTATACTGTAATATGAACTAATAGGTTTGTATGAACAGACAAAGACACACAGTCAGATACTGAGGCTGTAAACATTTAATAATAATAATAATAATAATTATTATTATTATTATTATTATTATTATAAAAAGGATTCAAGGTTATTTTACTGTCATTCACAACACAAGTTTGTAGAATGAAACTTAGATATAGTTCAATTTATTCTACTTTTAAAAAAACTAAAAATTGATAAATAAGAGTCAATAAATAATTGAGATATAAATAAATTAATAAATAAATAAGACTGATAAAAATCCTATATTCTTCTAGAAAAATACTAATTTGCCAATCGATTCTATAATGCTAGCCATTATTGTTTCCTTTGTAACAAACGTTGCAGATGCTTTAGGAACCAACGCTGTCACAATATATAAGAAGCACGTGGTACAGGTTCTAGGTTGGGCTGTAGTTACCTCAATTATTCCACTGTGATCCTATTATGCAACAACTGAAACACACCTACATTAGCTCATTGGCTCACGACCAACTTCTTTCTACACACAGGCTGAAGATAAACTGGGCCTACACGCTGTAGTGGAGAACTAACATTATCCACAGGACAAAGCTTTCACATCAAAACCAAAACCTTTATAGTCTGAAAGTCTACCTAACACCAATTTAAACACAAACAGCTGAAAAACCGGAATGCACTGTAGCTGATATTTAGATGTATTGTACAAGTATTGCCCAAAAACAGTATCTAGGTGAGGAGAGGGCACGAAACCACCTTCGTCTCTTTCAGTGGCTGTTAGAGTCAATGTTCCTTTTAACTTTTACTCCAGGACAATAACTGGAAAACGCTGAGGGGCTAATACGACTGCTAAACGCTGTCCTTCCTCAGGTCTTTCTTCAGTCTATATTATATAGATACATACTGGTGTAAAACAATTAGACATATATTCTATATATATATATATATATATATATATATATATATATATATATATATATATAAACAGGTCATATATTGAAGTACCTCAAAGCGGTGAAAGCTCCCATCTGACAGTTTCATCTGCATCAGAACAGAAGGCTGCAGGGCTCTGGCTAAAGAGCTGTGGGAACAAAGGAGACACAGAACAACATGGACGTCACTAAATATCGAGTTAAATCTCTTTAATGTCTACAATACTATTACATCTTTTTCTACTGATGGACTCGATGCGCAGCCCAACTACCCTTTTCTTCTTGTTTTTATTACAAACAAATATAAAAACACATTACATTCTCAGCTTCAGTCATCTGGTTACAGGTTAAAAAACAAAAACACATCTTCATTACCTTGTAGAAATGGCAACATCCACTCTCCATTTAAAGTCTTCTACTGTGGGGAGGTGAGGATCATTGCGGGAGGTTGCTGCCTCTAGAGCTGCACGGCTGCAAATACAAAGAGAGGTGTGACACAGCAATGATAATGCCTCCATGAACTGCATCTTAATGCCATCCACAGCAGCCACAATAGTGACTAAACAAATTTAGGTTACAATATTAAAAAACTAATGTTGTGTTCATTATTATTCGTGGTGAAGAGAGCTCTGGGGCTTCATGAGTGGACATAAAAACAGAAACTAAATGTAAATTTAGAGTAGATTCAACATACCGATTGCCGAAAACCACACTGGAGAAATCTGTGATAAAGTCCTCAGGCACCCTAATTGTTAAAAACACAACAGAAACAACAAACTCAGCATTTGAGGTTTAAACTGTCTAAAAGCAGGAGTGTTAATCAACACACTGAGGATGTGATACATTGAAGATCCTTACCTCAATTCTCTAAGATCTTCTTTAAAGGCCTAAACAAGGACACAAATCAAAGTAGCTTTTTATTTTGGATTTAAAATGTTTAAAATGTGTAATTCCATATTCATAAAGAGGAAGCAATTAGCATGTTCTGCCCACAAAGGAAAAAAAACAACAATAGATTATGAGAACTACAAAGTGAACAGAGGGTGAAACTGAAGCGGCTAAATTTAATTCTACTATATTTATTTTTATTATTTCACCTCTGCTTTCCCCAACATCTCAAAATGTCTTCTGCTTAAAAATCAAGTGGTATTTTTGAGCATATTTAATTTTTCAGAATTAATATGTAGATTGGAATTAACACACATCTCATGTGCTGTAATAGCAACAACAGGACATGTGAAACCAATAATATTAATGATTGTTTTGTTCCTTTTAGCCATGACGCTGGGCGAGAAATCAGAATACCAGGGTCCTAAAACTGAAACACCTGAATCAAACAGAGTGAATGAATGTTATTAGTTACACCTGTGCCTTTCCTGCTTTGACACGTCACCATGTTTGTAGTGGAAAATCTCTAAATATGTATGACGTCACTGACAAAGACTCAATTATATTCCGACATATAATTTCCAGTGTTTAACTCCAGCTTACCTCCTGTTTAAGTGACGATGTCGGGATGCGGATGGCCTCAGACAGAACTCTGTACATCCCAGCTACGATGTGACCGAGCCTCTCCTGTGGGATGGTGCTGCTCTCTGCTATCGACTTCATCGCCTCTCTGCAGTCCTTCCCCTCCAGCGCACTGACCACAGCTGGAAGAATAATTCATAGTGACATTTAACTCTCTTATTTAATGGCTTCAACTGCTGGTAGTGTACTTGTTATCGGGCAGGCCGCCAGTCTCCTGCAGATTTTCACAGTAGCTAATTCCTCGCAGTCGAGGGATTATATATTATTACATATATAACATGTCAATGTACCAAGGACTCTAGTAATAGAGGCGCTTTAGACCAGTGGTTCCCAACCTTGAGGTCAGCAAAGCTTTGTTGTCGTGTGGTTGTGAGGACTTCTTCTTTTTTTTTTTTTTTTTAAGGAGAGTAAGAAAACAAAAAGGAAATAGTTCATTTAGATTAGATTATTTTTTTCAGACCTGAACACAATCTTTATTCACTCTCTGCATTAGAAAAGTACGCAGAGCCAATGCAACAATGTCCAGCAGACACACAAAAGAAGGCTGTTAAACATGTATGATTGTTAAAATTAAAATAAAATACATAATACAGAGAGAGATACAAACATATCAGGGAAAACGCATCTCTTACTCAAATAATCCAAATGAATAAAAGTAAACACATTATACCCTGAGTGTTTTTTTTAATTCTTACTCTCTCACCACGCATTCAGACAGACATGTTAAACAAACAACTGTAGAGAAATTACACACATATAATTATTATTATATTATCTCATAATTGTTGTTTTAGTTCATCTGCGTTAACTACTGTTTACCTTTCAGCAGCTTCCTGAACAACTCCTGGTCCACATCCTTCACGTTTCTCGACATTGACTCGATTTCTGGCGGTATCCTTCCTCCCAGAAAGCTGGAGTCTCTCGCATGGCTCGCAGACATGACCCACCATGCACTAAAAATCAGAATATATCGACAACAGAGAGCAAAACAAGAGCTATACGTCCAGTTTTCTTAAAGCTCTCTCTCTCTCTCTCTCTCTCTCTTCTGTTTATGTGACAACCTCCGACCTTCACGTCACATGACGCAGATCTCGCTCCGGTAGTCTCGCGATGACAGATTAGCTCATCGGTAGGAAAGAAAGGATTTTGCAAATGGAGGTGGCAGAAATTATCATTCTTTGAACGACCAAAAAAAAAAAAAGGTTGGTGTTTTTTTTTTTTTAAATGTATGTAGCTTCTTAAATACAACTTTAACCGCCTGTTAACCCGCTAATATCTCACTACAGGAGGGAGGGGGGGTAGTTCAGGGTCGTTTTGTAAACGCTTCGTGGACTATTAGCATCTGAGCTAACGACGGTAGCTTGTGTTGTGTCCCAGTCACAGAGCCCCAAAAGCAGCTACCTCCTCTAATATCCTCTGCCCTCTTTCTTTCTGTGTGTGCGCGGCTGTGGGGATTGCAGGAGAAGCATTTCTAAATGTTGTCAGTAAAAAAAAATAAAATAAATAAATATTAAAAAAAAAGAAAAACAACAATTTTCTGGAGTTGGATGCTTCAACGTGGATGACGTCTAGTGTCAACATCAGGAGTGTCTTCCTTTACTCAGAAAAGTCAGGATTCACTTACAGTAATATATTAAGACTGTAGGAACTCTGTAGGGGAAAGGTTTTGGTTATTTTAGGATTTTAAGAATATCAGACAATAGTGGGAGAAATGTCCATCCCAGTTTCCAAGGTGATGTCTTCTCATGTCTTGTTTTCTTAATCCAAAATTATATATTATATATTCCTTGTAATGATATAAACAGAGAAAAGCAGGAAATATTTCATATATCAGAGACTGAAAATTATTTTAATTTTTTTTGCATGAAGAGTTGCTTTTTGGCTAATAATTTCACAATTTTGTATTTTAAAAAGAAATTCATAACCGGTAGTTTTTACCCACCTGATGGTAAGAAAGGCTGAGATGTAGTGAGCAAAGACGGGTGATTTAATATTCAATAGCTCTGATATAACTCATCTCACCGTGACACAACAAACACAAACAAACAGATCTGTTCTCTTTAACTGTTCATTTATGTTTATTTATTAAACTACATAATAATACAAAATATTACTATGGGCCAATAATTTATTGCCTTTAATTTATTATTGGGATAATTTATGAGGGTATACATTTCCTGTGATCAGCCAATAATTGTTGTGCATCCCCATTTTAAGGATTAATCAATTATCAAATGAGTGGATTAATTATTGCAGCTCTAGTCATTTTAGCTTTTTCATTCACTATAGCTGTAAACTAAAGTGCCATACGGCTGGAGTACCATCACAAAACGTAAAAAAAGCAGCATTTCTGAATGCAAAATGTTCACCGAAATGAGCAGCAACTGATGTACGTAGGAAATATCACTGCACGTACTTTAATCTGCACATGTTGTTTAACATTCAGAACATCAGCAGTGTGTCTGTTGTCTGGACTTTGCATCAGTAAATGTGTATACAAACGAACCTTTGTGGACACAGTCTTGAACAGCTGTACAACAGTGCAGTCAAATACAATACTCCTCCAATCAGTGCATACTTTGTAAAGCTGTTTTAAGTGTGTGTCAGGTGTCTGAGAAGAAATTTAAATATAGCGGTTATTACTGAGACTATAGCTAGCTGCATTGAAAGATGCTCTGTTTATGTTTGTCTCATCTTTGCCTCTGTTTCTGTGTCAGGTACTTTTGGCCATGTCTGAATCTCTGTATGAGAAGTTTCTGGCCCCGGAGGACCCTTTCCCTCTCCTCTCCCAAAGAGCCAACCTCAGTGATGTGGGAACTCTGGACGTCAGTGACTTTGGCTGTCAACTCTCATCTTGTCACAGAACAGATCCTCTACACCGCTTCCACAGTAACCGGCAAGTAACCGAGAGAGTGTGTGTGTGTGTGTGTGTTTGTTTACATGAATATGTCACCTGTCTGTGGGGTAAGCTGACTTTTAGAATGTATTTGTAGATTAAAAAAATATGGAAATTAAATCAAGATATCCGCCTTTATGGTAGAGTATCTGAAGACGCAAAAGCTGGACCTGCCAGTAACTGTCGCAGGATGTGCCATTGCTGCTATTGGTGGCAGTTTCCACATTACTGTTGTTGACGAATGTTAGAAATGTGCTTGTCAAGTGCTCATGTGCCGTGACCGTGCCAGTAAAGTCTGTTTACAGTTGTGGCAGTGCACTAGACAGCGGTCAAAATTAAGGCGACAGTAAAAAAATAGCACCTGGGACATAGATACAGTGTCTGGGACAGTAGAGAAATGTACCATTACAGCACATATGTAATAATTGAATTACATTTATGTGTCATGGAATACATCGTTTTAATTTTTACGTGTTCAAATTCACAAAATGTGAGATGGCACCAGCACAAGCTCGTCTGTCGGGCGCAGTGAGTCAATGAAACGATGAGAGTTACTGAAACAAAGTTATTAAACTACTTTTATAATGTAGAATGTAAAAACTTAGTTTGGGACAGCTGCAGGACACTGAGATCAAATAAAATAAAAACCACAGGCCTTCACATAAACCACATTACACCAAACTACACCATGCCCTCTTGTCTCTATAAAAAGGGAAACGGTGTGTTGAATGTTACCACTTACAGCCTGAGATACTAATTATATTGTGACATGACACTGGCACTGAAAATTGTCTCTATTGTCTCCTGACAATATGCCGCCTTCATATTTTCATACGACCTTTGTTAAGATGATCTTTGTTGACATTTGTTATGTATTTCACAGAGAAAGGCATTTACACAGTTGAAATGTACGCACACAACACACAATTTCTAGAAATGACTCAGAACATACTTTGACGTTGACTCATTGCTCTTCCCAGGTGGAACCTTACTTCCTGTGGGACCAGTGTTGCCAGCTCGGAGTGCAGCGAGGAGCTCTTCTCCTCTGTGTCCGTGGGGGATCAGGACGACTGCTACTCCCTTCTGGATGACCAGGAACTAACGTCTCTGGACCTGTTTCCAGAGGGCAGTGTTTGCAGTGACGTCTCCTCGTCCATCAGCACCTATTGGGACTGGTCCGACAGCGAGTTTGAGTGGCAGGTGGGTTGTTAGCCGGCCGGTTATCTGACTTAAAGTGCTTTAGGGAGGAAGTCATGAGTAATGAGTTGCTTTATTTGTTTGCACCAAACACAGAGGATGTGGATGTTACAGTGATTACAGGGCTAGTGTGTCCATTTCTAAATATTCTGTCGTTCTTTGTCCTCCTGCTCTTCATTGTCTGTCTATCTGCTGTCCTCACAGTTGCCAGGAAGTGACATTGCCAGCGGCAGCGATGTCCTTTCTGACATCATCCCGAGCGTGCCAAGTTCACCCTGTCTGTTTTCCAAGAGGAAGCCTAAACCCCACCCTCACCGCAACCTCGATGAGTTACCATGGAGTGCCATGACCAACGACGAACAAGTAAACAACACACATTTCTGACTCTGACACTCTAAAATGCTCATAATTAACAACAGTGAAACTGACAAACCTGCTGACTCAGCTACTAGATTATGGTTTTTGTTTTCGAAAACTGGAGTCAGCAGCATAATGGCATTGCATTGACTAGCTCACATCTTATAAGTGAAGTCATTTTTCCTTTCAGTATACCTGGATATGAGTGCTGAATCTCTCTAGACTTTCTTTCAGTCTTCATTTACAACCAGTTCCATCATTTGTATTATAATGTGAGATAATTAATTTGATTATATAGCGTAAAAACTGTTTTCCTCTATCAGTATTTAGCTGTGTTGTAGTTCGGGATGTCCTGAGCTGACCTACATTGATCAGGACTGATCCAAGGCAAATTTGTTTGGATGGATCTGTACCAGGAACCCATAGCAGTCCCTTAAAGTCAAATAATTTATATAACATAAGACAATGGCTGAATTTATGGTGATTAAAGACTGAACGCTGAGTAAAGATTCTCTATCTCTCTATATAGATATAGAGAGATAAAGTTTACACTTGCAACTTTGTAGTTAGCTGCCCAGACGTTAACATAACTGTCTCATTCCTTTAAGCTGTATCATTTTATAAAAATTCTCCAGTTTTTGTTTCTCGCATTGGTTTTGTCAGTTAGCTACTTCTTGCCACATCGTCTGCTTAGGTGTATTTGTTTTGGCTCGGTTCAGTTTACTTTGAATGATGAGCTTTCCATATTCTTCAAGGAGAACAGCAACCATGGCAGAACTGCGCATGTGCTATGATATGACAGTCATTACCATAAAATCCGTAGCTTAAACACTTAAGAGGCTTTGTGCAGTGCTCCTAAATGAACCCCTCAGCTTAGTGAAATATTTTGCTCAAGGGACAAACTTCACTTTATTCAACCGAGCACAGTCATTTCCAATCCATTGCTTGTTTGCTTCAATTACACCGGCAGTCTAAAACACCCCCTTACACTTCAGTGCAGGCAGCAATGCTTGGAAAAGAAGAACAAAGCTACGTGTCTCAGGGTTCCCACGCGTCCTGGAAAACCTGGAAATTTAGAGACTAGTTTTCCAGTCATAGAAACACCTGGAATTTGCTTAAAATGACCCAAAATCCTGGAAATATTTTAAGTTTTCCTGGAATGTTTTTATTGTATTTTAACTCCTCACTCACATCGCTGAATCTTCTGTAAAACAAGATAAATTCTGCTTAATCTGTATTGTTACTTCTGGGCTCTGACCATAATGTTATGGTGAAAAGTGTAGTAAACTGTAGTCGATTCACTGGAGACAGTTTATTACGAAATAACTGTAATAAACCAGAACACTTCATCATGAACCCTGCATTGTCTGGTAAATTAGATGACCGTTTGGGAGCAAATGCTAAATAAATGCTGTCAGTAAAAACTCCTGGAAGAATGATTTCTTCAAAAAAGCGGGAACCCTGATGTCTGTGTCCCCTTTTCCAGGTGGAGTACATCGAGTACCTGAGTCGGAAGGTCAGCACAGAGATGGGCCTGAGGGAGCAGCTGGACATCATCAAGATCATCGACCCCTGTGCTCAAATCTCCCCCACCGACAGCGAGTTCATCATAGAGCTCAACTGTCTCACCGACGAGAAGCTCAAACAGGTGGGTAGTGACACTGAAACGCGCCACTTTAACAATCCAAGTCTTCTAAGACACGTAACAAGGCCAGTTTTCTTCCACACGTAACCTCTCACTTACACCACAACCTGTCACCAAGTTGATCCACATGAGAGTGGTTGATGAGCATGAAACTGCTTTTAGAGTTACTTTATAATCTATTTACCCTTTAAATGCAGATGAAGCATAAATATAAATGCATTTTGGTTATTTAAAGACACTATGTGTACATTTTGTGATTATGGCGTCAGCTGATCCACTTGGTAATTAGCTCATGACAACATGTCCAAAATCACTATATATCCCCCTTTTGGGGAATGGGTAGCATATTTATTTGCCCTTTTGCTTCAGCTGTTATCATCATTGTTGTTTATTGAAGAGAATCACTCCTTGCTAATACATCAGCTCACCAAGGTACAAAAGATGGTAACCTAGAGTTATACAGCAGGTAAAAAAAAGTAAATGTTTTGACCTGTGTGTCGTCATCAGGTGCGTAACTACATCAGAGAGCACAGCCCCAGGCAGCGGGCCAGCAGCACCAGAGAGGGCTGGAAGAGGAGCAGCCACAGCAGCGCCAGCACCGGCGGCGTGAGCGGAGCCAGCAGCAGCAACGCCAGCATGGTCAGCTCCGCGAGCTCCTCCACTGGCTCCACAGCCTCCAACTCCGTAGCAGGTAGGATGCCACCCGGTTAGCTAGCAGTCAAGTAGCAGTTAGCGGCTCAGTTCTTATACTATTTGGTGTTCCAGGTTGTAATACCGTCAATATTTCCTTTTGTTCCAGGTGGTACAGCGTCCGCCTGTAGTGGGAGCAGTGTTGCCAACATTAGCAGAGCTCACAGTGATGGCAACCTTTCCAGTGCTGCAGAACGTATACGAGACTCTAAAGTAAGAAAATGATATTATTATGCTGGACAAGTAGCACACTATTTCCATTACTGGGAACACAGGAAAGAATGGGGACAGGCATTTGTGCAGCCTCATCTTAAAACATTTGAAGTATATTTTCCTCTGGACCCTACAATTTCTGATCCTACTCTGTCACATACATGTTATATTTACTTCAACTAATTCATTCTAGTTACTTCTTTGTTGCATTATGTTAGTACAAACTGTTTAAAGTGAGTTAAATACCTGTACAGTGCACATCTTTTACAGCCATTTTTTTAACCCCACCATTTCACAGAGCATGTTAGCCAGTTATGTCAGCACTAAGGCTGGTGGAAACACTTTCTTCGTTCTCTGTGACGTGAAAACTTCAGATTTCCACACAGTCAGATGAAGTACATCAGTGCATCCTGCTCATAGTTCGGAGCATTGCTCCTGCCGGGCTGCTGCAGCAGACGAGGTTGTAACGTCGTCAAGATCAAAAGGGGTTTAGCCACAACCAATTAACAGATTTGCGCTGCCCTCCGTTGACTGTCACTCTTCTCAGCTTCCATCACAGTTAGTTTTGTGGTCATTTTACTGTCGCTCTGTGTAGTCCACACATTTCAACTGACAAAATGAAAGTGGACTGATTACTTTAATCATGGCGTTTTTGGGGGGCGGCCAAAGTCATCTAGGTATCATCTCTAACCCCTTTTTCTCCGCTGTCTTTCAGAAACGTTCGAAGCAGCGCAAGCTTCAGCAGAAAGCCCTCCGGAAGCGTCAGCTGAAAGAGCAGCGACAGGCCCGCAAGGAGCGTCTGAGTGGACTGTTTCTGAACGAGGAGGTGCTGTCACTGCGAGTGACGGAGGAGGACGACCACGTCGACGACCTGGACATACTGATGTGACACCAGTGAATCAATCAGTGCTCCCTCTACGCCTGCTGTCTCGCCACTCGGCCGCTACCCTAGAGCTCATGGACCACGCTAATCCAGATCACTGCATGCATTAGCTTTGAGTAGGCTAATATGCTCAGAATTTGTAAGAGTAATGTCTCAAAGGCAGTAATAGCTTGTAGTAGCCTCTAACATGTCATATTGCTTGCTAATTCTAGTGTAGTACCGTTAATGCTCAAACGGATAGCCGCTGCAATCACTACTAAGCTAGCTACAGCAATAATACTGCTAATGCTTTGATTAGATTCAGACCTCAGTCTAGCCTGCCAGTGCTAATGAACCTAGAGCCTCGCAGATACACATAAATATACACTACCAATCATTTTTCAGCTTAATACGGTTAGCAAGAGGATTGCTTATAGATGCTGTAACAGCTACATCCACTGCTACTAATACAGCCACCACTGGCAGAAGGACAGATCAGGTAAGAGAAGGCCGAGTTTGGCCACATTATGCCGCTGTCGCTCTGTGAAAAACCAGGTGATGGCAGCAGGTTTATTTCTTCATAACATACAGGAGCAACTATATGCAAGTTGGCAACATTTGAGCTAATTTGGTAGTCGATCTCACCCACCTGCATACACATACATCCAAACTCTACAGGGCTATATCTGCACTGGCCAAACTCTGTTCGTCTACAGCTGTAGTTTAAACTGCTGCAGGTGACGTTACAGCGTGAGGCCTACAGTCAAAGTAGCTACAGTATGTGTCAGTTTTAATGTAACAGCAGATTTATTGTAAATACGAGTGCCCTCATAGGGACGCTTCTGGGGAAAACACAAGCTTTAGATTGAAACCTCACATTGATGAGCGACTTCTCTAAATGGTGAATTCAGATTCATTTCGGGGTAAGATAATTGGTCAAACTCATCCTTCAAAACTAACAAATAACATCTGAGATTCAAAGGTTCCTGGTGGAGACTGTAGTGAGCTGGTCTGTCTTTCTATCTGCTGAGTGTTGTGGTCCCATTTCACTCTTAAAGGCTTAGAGGGAGCACTGAAAACAGTGCATGTTTAAATCGCCACTCACATCGAGTCCCCGTGTGGTCCAAAAACTAACAACTCGCATCATTATTTGCAGACACCTGTTTAAAAATAGCTTATGTGTTGTAAATAAATGATAAATAACAGCATATTTACTGCTTGTTTTAAGGTTCTCCTTGGTGATAAAGGTTTGATATAAAGTTTTTTTTCCCCTCTGTGTACATATATAATGACAAGGTAGTGAACTAATTGGTTATCATAGCTTGAAAATGCTGTCAGTTAGCACTGGGTCTTTGCTATGTTTTGAGTCTTATTTTGAAGCATTTAGCTGTTCTGTCACGTACTTGAGTTTGGTCGTCGTCTCAGACATCCTTTGAACTCTGACTTTGTCAAGTCCTCTTGGTTTCTCTGCCAGCACTCCTACTGTATGTTTTGCCTGAGACAGACCTAAATAATCTTCATCATTTACCTCTGTTTACATTTTTGAATGATTTGACCTCCGTGGTAAGTTATAAGCATTTGAGCGTAAAGTCTTACAAGAAGTTTTTTTTTTTACGGATCACCTTGTGTCTGTCCGTGCACTGTATAGCTGGTTCGGCTTTGGCGCTAAACTTGAGCTGGTTTCTTAAGAATGTGCATCTAACATCGAGCCATTAACTCAGCTTCCAGAAGTGTGTTCATTTCGCTCCGTTAAAATATTTATGATGTACGAAAAGGTGTTGACGAAGCACTAACGCCTCAAAAACAGCCTTTTGTGGAGGTGTAGCTACCATGCCATTGTCATGTTTGCTAACCTGAGATTTTGTTTGTGTTTTTTTCCCCGTTTTTTTTGGTTTTGTTCTACCTTGTATAAGAAACACTTTCCCACAGCTTCTCGGCTGTATCGTGTTAAACCACTGCAGTTATTGGGCTTAAAAGCCTGCTGTCATTTCTAATACTTTATGTGTACTGAGCTTTGGCTCTTGTCTCTGTCTCATGTATAAAAGTTATTAATTACAGCAATTATGTTAAATGCAGCTTTATGTATTCTGTAGTTATGAATTAGTAAAACTCTATTTTGAAAAATAAGATAATTTTGAGAAAAAAAATAAAATAAGCCAGTGTGATGCAACAAAGTTATTTGTGTATATACCATGTAATTGCAGAAGATGAATGATATTGAACTGATTAAATATGGTTAAAAAAAGGCTTTAGTGTAAACTTTTTGTTGGGGAAAATGCCCTCACTGTCATTGTTAGATTTATTTTACACCAGACACACGTTGAGGTAAAAACATTTTAACTATCAGCTACAATAACAACAGTGTTTGTTTTTTTTTACATGTATTAGTTCTTACAAACCACTATGGAGCAGTGTTTTCCTGCAGCCTGGCTGAAGCATATTGGATACCGGAGATGTTGGTGCTTCAGGCAGGACTGTGTGCAGTCCACCCAATGATTCTGATTCACTGTAAACTTGACAAATAAACTTACATTGTTGCATCCTATTGTTCTTGTCTATGATGGTGTTTTATTAAAGTGAGGCTCTGTTATTCTGTCATATTCGTAAGAGAGTGCCTCAACATTACAAAGTCAACCCACCGCTTTTGGGTGTCTGGGGCAGTACAAAAAAAGAAGCAGAAATATTCTTTTAGTTATATATTTGTTGGTGTTTTTATTTCAGTAAGTATTTTTTGAATGAGTGTTTCTTTAAATGCTGAATAGACTGCACACTACATGCCTCTTTCACTCATTAACACACATTCAGTGTCTCTTCAGGTGATCATTTGTACCTGCGTTAGAATTTAAATGGGACTTCTCAAGCGAGCAAGGAAAAACTCAGAAAAACTCCCAGATGTGGAAGTTTTGGAGGAAACCTTGAGAAGGACCACGTGAGAAGGGACCACGTGAGAAGAGACCCCCTTCCTGGGCTGTGTTGCGATGCCTAGAGGATTTGTGATCCAAAACTGCCCTCAGGGGTGTTCCTGGTCTGCAGAGGTCACTACCTATCTAAAGGTCAGGGTGGGCCTGTGTGGTCCGATTCAACAGACGAGCTACTGTGGCTCAAACTGCTGATCGGTGATTGTGTGCCTCTGATTGTAAGAATGGATTCTCAGTGGAGGAAGAAGTACTCGGAAAAACTCCTTGTGGTACATTTAAAGGACCACTGTGTGGGATTTAGTGGCCGGCGGTGGAGCTGCAGATTGCAACTAGCTGTATTGGACGATCTGGGAACGGGAGCGGGATGTGAAGTCATTTTATTTGTCTTCTTTTATGATGAGTCGAAGACAAGGACTTGTGGATTACTTGTGCAAACTCAGGTACTGAAACACAAGGACAAACAAGTGGTGGAATTTCCCCTAGAAGTCTGTCACTCTTTCCTGTTATGTACATGCAAACAATGGATTTGGGTTATGTAATTAATCCCGTGGGTCTCCTGTTATTTCCTTTTGGAACATAAACCCACTTGGCATGAATAACCGTGTCCTCACATAACCTTTCTTAAGGTTATATAGGTCAATAGGTTACACACTGCACCTTTAAGTACAAGTAGTATGCAGGCTGCTTGAGTACTTTGACCCACATCACTCCTCACACACCTGCACTCCGGCAGGGAAGACAAACCCAAAATCATCGTCACACACGTACGTATAGTGCCGCGGGCCGTCCTCGACCTCTTCGGGGTTCCCTTTTGTCCGGCTCGGGTTTGAGAAGATCTTTTTGCATTTTTTCCAGCAGGAGGAGAAGAACTTTTTAAACTTCCTCTTCTTGCCTCCAGCGTGACGAGGGCGCTCCTCCTCATCCTCAAACTTCACGCAGTCTCCTTCAAAAAAGTCATAAATGACAGAGCCGATGTCTTGTTGAGGCTTCAGCTGCACGTTTCTCACCGTCACAAACCTCTCGCCAACTGCAGCTTCTCGCCTGTCTTCCTCCCTGTCTTCCTGTCTGCCTTCCTCTATGTATTCCTCCCTGTCTTCCTCACTGTATTCCTCCCTGTCTTCCTCCCTATCCTCCTCAGTATCTTCCTCACTGTCCTCCCTATTTTCGTCAGTATCTTCCTTACTGTCTTCCTCTATGTCTTCCTCACTGTCTTCCTCACTGTCTTCCTCTACGTCTTCCTTATTGTCCTCACTGTCCTCCTCTTTGTTTTCCTCTATCTCTTCCTCACTGAACTCCTCTCTGTCTTCCTCACTGTCCTCCTTCCTGTCTTCCTCTCTTTGAGGCACGGCCTGTACCGGCCCCATCAGAGACTCTTCACTTCTTCCCAGCATGCTCAGGACCTTTATTTCCAGCTCATCTTTATCTCGGAGCAAACTTTTCTTTTCCGCGTCCCAGATTTTGGCTTTTGCATCCATTTCCCGGGCGATGGTGTCCCTCTCCTTCTGGACATCGTTGAGCTGCTGGTAGAAGGACACGTTTTGTTGGAAGAGCACCTCATTGTGCTTCATGAGCGTGTCCAGGTGTGCTTCTAATTTTTGATTCACAGCACGGAGACTCTCATACGCATCAAGGGACACTGTGAGCCGGGAGGAAAGCATGTTTGTCTTCAATCAGTAGGCCTATGCTACTATAATAACTGTCGCTGTTGGTTGGGTTTGTGTGCTCTTTTGTAAAATGACTTGTAGCGAAAGTTAAAGTTGTTCTCTGCCACAGAACGCCCCATGGAACCTAATGTGTGCGTCATCACATTCCAAACGTCAACGATCAGAGGGAATCGAACGTGACGTAACGTTCGAATTGCAGCCGCGGGTCGCCCTACGTCAAATCAGCCTCACGGTGAAATCACTGCGCATGCGCCAAAGATTTCTGCATTTCAAACAATCACAATCCAAATCTCAAATATCCACAAAAAGTAGTCAGACTTTTTAAAAGTGCTTTTATTTATATTTTCATTCTACTCAGGTCCTTTATAAAGTAGAAATGCTTGCACATGTGCAGTTATCCACTCTAGTTACCCATAACCACAATGTACAAATGCAGTCTAATTGAACCTATAATATTCTGACGTGTGTAGTAGAAAATGGAGATAATTTTACACGAGTAGGCTACAATGAGACAAAGTACATAACAAGTGTGTTGCTATGTCAAGGAACCGAAAGGAGGGAGACGCCCTGACCGGGACGCTTTCGCTTTCAATCCCGCACTCACCTGGCGCGGACATCACCATCAGGACACCTTTCCGCCCACCTGGAGACCAACAGTTACGCATAAGTGAGTTTAATAGTCTCATGAAGTTGCTTTTTCTTTTTCTGGCGTGAAAGCAATGCGCTTCCGTAGTTTTGACCTTTTGAGATGGAAGTGTGCCAGATACTTCTGTTGATTACTCATTCATGAATGATTAACCTTCTTCCGTCTCAGGCCTCAGTACACATCCCTGTACAGCAGGTGCAAAAAGAAAATGTGAATTTAATTCATCAATCCACAATTATTTTTATTTTCTTAATTGTATCATTTCTTTGTGTGTGTGTGTGTGTGTGAATTGAAAAAAACATATATAAACTAATAAAAGTAAACTGAACTGAAAACTGAACTAAAATAGAGAATTAACTGTAACACTGAATTAGAGCAAGTGAACGTACTCTAAAACTAAACCTGTAATGAAGATATAAGTAACAGTAATTCTGGTACTCAGTCATAATCAATCCCAAATAAAATCGTAGCTCTCTTCTATTGGTGGAAAAGGTTGAAAAACAAGATATATCTCTGCTTTCTCTTACCCTGCATAGGCCTACTTATCTAGTCGGCTGCCACATGTCATTTGGTTTGCAAGTCTGTAAATTGTGAATTTTCTTCATCACAGGTGAAGCATATGAAACTGCTTTAAAATCTTTCACTTATCTTTCCTCACCTTGTGGTCCACATCATGTGAACAGCAGCAGCTCAGGTGAGAATAATGATGGTTACTACTTTACTTTTATTACTTTACTACATTTAGAAACTGAACACTCATACATACCTTTTCATTGCAACACATACCTTTCACTACAGTGTACCATACAAACTGTATCCGTTTCAGATTAAAAGCTCTCTGTGGTTTCTGTGGAGGCCTTTCTTATTGTAGCACACAGAGGAGAAGATAAGGGGACCTTGACTTCGTCCTTGTAAGTACACACAGGGTAATGCTGGCTATATTAGAACCAGCAGTGCTTCTTGTAATACTCTTTCTTTCTTGTTTTTATGTTTCTGGGACTTTATTTACTTTAGAGTTCAACTATACTATCAAATAGTTTAAACTATTTAAACCAGCATGAATATTAGTTTTTTTGTTGTGGCTATCAAATAACAAATTACAGATAATTCATTTATTTGATACTTTGGTGCTCATGGTTTCCATTTTACATATATATATATATATATATATATATTACTGTGGAGAATTGAACCAATCTAACGATGTGTGTGCTTACTGGCTGGCAGAAATGCTCTTTGTGTGGACACCACACATTATATTATATTACATTATATTATATTATCACTATGTCAGTGATGGTGGTGAAAACTCAGCTGTGGGTAAATAAGGGTTCAATGTTTAAAACCCCCAGCTGAGAACTGTTAGTGCTTTATCCAACCAAGATTAATTCTGACTTGATGCTTTTCTAGTTATCCTACTGTTTTACATTAAACATTTTCTCTAAAATGATTAGGCCAAAAACAATCCAAAGTTGTGAAACTCTTTATTGATCCCACACTGGGGAAATTCACTTGTTGTAGCAGCTGATGAGAAAAAAAGAAAACAAAGAAAATAGAAGAAATGCAAGATATCACGAAAAAGCAAACTACAAACAAACTATGTACAGTATGGTCATATAGATGTGATTCAAAGTTAAATTATAATATTGCACAGGTTACAGAGAGAAGTAGTGGCATATTGTAGAAATAAATAATAAATAATTACACCGGACATTTTATATGATTACTATTTCGGCCTCTTAAGAAGGTTTTCCTTGCCACTGTTGCCAAGTGCTTGCTCAGGGTGGTTATTGTTGGGTCTATAAGGAGTACAGTCCAGACCTGCTCTATTTGAAAAGTCTCCTTCTATTATGATTTGACACAAATAAAACTGAATTGTGTGTGTTGGTTTATGTTGTGTGCCATTAGGTGATTACAACGAAGATGGGTAAAGAACAGAGCACCCTTCAGCAGAAGGGCTACACTATTGAAAAGGAAACAGAAAACTGGGTTACAGCCACGAAGGACGGTGACAGATTTTTCATAAGAACGATGAAGGTAAGTGCTGAGCACATTTTCAACTTAACTTCACACTAAACAGAGTATGCCAAGGATTTCTCCCAATTAATACATTTAGTTGGAAAAAGTAATAATATAAACATCTGTGAAAAGAAAGGGTTATAAACTGATATAATGCTTCTTCCTCGTCTGAGCTTTAATTAATTGCATGCAGTTGTTGTTGTTGGTGGAGTACAGAGCCATTTGTAAATCTGTACCCTCGGATTCATAATCTGTATTTTAATATATGTATAGCAGAATTGGAGTCAGCAAGTGGTGTTAATCTGGAGGTGTATGTTCAGTGTAGTGTGTTAGAATATATATAGACAAATACAAACTGTATCCATTTCATATTAAAAGCTCTCTGTGGTTTCTGTGGAGGCCATTCTTATTGTAGCACACAGAGGAGAAGATAAGGGGACCTTGACTCCGTCCTTGTTGTTCTCTGGACTTTCTGTTTTTCCAAGTACACACAGGATAATGCTGGCTATATTAGAACCAGCAGTGCTTCTTGTAATACACTTTCTTTCTTGTTTTTATGTTGACTGGGACTTTATTTACTTCAACTATACTATCAAATAGTTAAAACTATTATTTAAACCAGCATGAATATTACTTGTTAATGTGCCTATCAAATAACATCAATGAACTGAACGATTAAACTGTGCAGAATTGAACCGATCTAACGATGTGTGTGCTGACTGGCTGGCAGAAATGCTCTTTGTGTTGACACCACTCATTATATTATATTATATTATATTATATTATAACTCTGTCATTGTTATCATGGTGAAAAGTCTGCTGTCTGTAAATAAGGGTTCATTGTTGACTACTACAGGCACACAGCTTTGACCTGTTAGGTGCAGGTGCCTCTTCCAGACCATTCGTACACAGTGCTATTTTTTTAACAGATTTCCCCAAATGCAGCATTAATCTCAGAGATGGAAACTCTCAATTCAATAACCCATCCTCATGTTACGAGCACCAACAATTCTTTTAAAGGTAAGTCGTCAAAAATGTGCAACAAATGTAATAGTCTTAATAGTTGCAAAATATAATATTATTGTACATGTAATGAAGTTATGATACTAAAGGTAGAGTATTAAACCAGTGATTGTTTTGAGGTGTATGAATGGAGGTTCTTGGAGCCAGTCAACAAACATCACAGGTCCATTTGCTACATTGACGAGAGATAGTCTCCTTAAACTGAACGGACTTTTGGAAATACAGCTATCAATAGTGAGAGATGACTCCATTGAACATGCTACCAGTGACTATTTTCCCTTTTGTCATTAAGATGAAGATCATGACGTGTACTACCTAGTGGCGGAGCACTGTCACAGTGGGAGTCTTGCAGAAAAGGTCAAAGGGACGAGTCTTGATGAGTCTCAGGTATTCATGCAAAAGATATTCCATCTCTACACTTTTGTCCTAAGCAATTCAAAATAAGTGCATCAATAAAAGATCTTAGTAAATGTTTATTTATGTTGATGTTTATGTTTATGTTTTCTAGATACTGAGCTGGATTGTTGAGATCTGTATGGCACTGCGAACCATTCATGAAAACGACTTGTTTCACAAAAATCTGACACCACAGGTACAGCAAATCAGTGTGTACATCAAAAAAATACAAAATATGTAGCCTCTAAATAAATAAATTGTAACGTTAATAGTAATATAAATAAATCAAAACACAACTAATAACATATATCTCTGACTCTGTTGCACTTACATACACTTAAACACCTCTATTATTCCCAGTGTAAATCAAACAGCAGGTAACTGTGACCCCTGAAATGTAATAACCCCCATATGAATGAATGAACTTTCCAGAAACATCAGTAGTTACTTTACTGACAAAGTAACAGTTTGACCGTTTCTTCTTTTTAGAACATATTCTTCACAGAATTTGGAACTCTGCGCTTGGGTGGATTTGGGAAACTCAAGGGAAAGTACTGTATAACTCCTATTTTAATTACAAACATATAAAGTGTATATATACTGTACATTTTTGGGTGTCGAGCTTCCAATACATACACATATAATACATTACATAATAATAATGTAAATAATATTTATTATTTAAATGCACTTAAGTTGTATTTAAACCTTTTTTTTACATAATAAAATTATATGTGTCAAGACTGTATTAAATTTTTTTAAAAGGAAAAAACACTCAAACACAAAAATATGCATGTAATGTCATCGACCCACATAGTGAGGGGGGGTCTGACTGATTGTTTCATTACATGACAGTTTTGTGACACTGTGTGCCTTTTGTTCTGAAAACAATAAAAATATGTTATGTAAAAAAACATAGACTGGAAAACCTGTAAGCCAATCCTTTAACTCCTTAGTAAGTGGAACATATTTCAGTCAGGACCACGTTTGTCAAAAGAAAACTTTATTTCCAAATGCAGAATGTTATATTCGGTGGTGTGGCTCTGTTCTTGGACCTCACTGCCCTTCCATGTGCACACAAAGCTTAAGACAAGGAGAGCAGCAGTAAAGACCCCACTGGGTACAGAACAGAGCTAGCATCAATACTGTATGCATATATATAGCATACTGTATGCATATATAAATCTGCTTGTTGTTTACACAGCATTGTAAGTTCTGCAGGAGGGGAAGCAGTTAATTATCTGGCACCAGAGGTCTTCTCAAGTGCAACATATGACGCTAAAAGGTAAAAAGCTTCATACCAGAATATAAAAATGTACATCTTCCAGTCCAATGTTTGTTATTTTTATTGAGACTGTCCCTTGTATTCACATTTGTTTTTCTACTTCAGTGTGCAGTATAGCAGAAAAACTTAAATCATCTCTCTCATTTTGTAGTGACATTTGGTCGGTGGGATGCATACTCTACGAGCTCTGTACTCAGAAATTAGCGGTAAGTTTCCCAGAGATGATCATGTCATAAAAAATGATAAATTGATATGATAAAATAAATGACAAACATGAAACAAAATTATGTCAAGTGTTTTCTAAATTCTTCTTCAGTTCTCTGCAGAGACCACAGTCGATCTCAACCCCAGAATTATTTCTGGTCCTGTCCCTCGTCTCCAAGACACGTGGTCATCTGAGTTTCAGGAACTCTTTAGTGACATTTTGCAGAGAGACCCTGACTCAAGACCTACAACCTATGAGATTTTGGGGCGTCCCATTGTTTTACAATGTCTCTTAAAAAAGGTTTGACACTTATTAATAATAACATCAGTAATTGTCCTCACTATCACAGATCCCAACCTTCTTCCCCAACTATTACAAAAATCCTGCAGAATAGGCATGTAGCCTCGTATATTAGCAGGCAAAAAAAGGAAACTGTAATCCATAATAGTGACAGAAAAAAAGAAAAGAAAGTGTACACTGAGCAGAGGACATATTTATCATACTAAAAATCTTGGTTTCCATTTTCTTTTCTACGGTTACACTGTTTGTTGTTTTATACACGAATACACGTCATCTTATTTGTATTTCTCTCTCTCTTCTTGTCTTTATTTGTATATTTGAAAATGTGGTAATCCAAGATAAACAGAAAGTAATCAAGTTACCTTACTTTAGTATTGTGATACTTGAATTAGGTTATTGACTTTTTAACAGGTAACAGGTGTATCAGATTGCATATAAGTTACCCTCCCAGCCCTGGATAGTAGTTGTATGTTTCTGTATCTCTGACACTGACTATGTCTTTTCCATAGAGTGAAACAACTGTAGAGAACCTTCAGATTCAGTTGGGCAAGCTGAGAGCTGTGGCCGACAGTTTGGAAAGTGTGCACCAGGGCGCCACCATCGGCAGTCTGGCAGGAGGAGTGATCGGAGCAGCAGGAGGGATTACCTCCATCGTGGGTCTTGTTCTGGCTCCCTTCACTTTGGGAACTTCACTTATTGTCACTGGTGTGGGAATCGGGGTGGGTGTTGCTGGTGGGATCACTGCCGGTGCCTCAAATATCACAAACATGGTCAACCAGGCCTCTGATCGCAAAGCTGTTCAAAGCATCATCAAAGAGTTTGATGAGAAAATGAAGGCAGTGGCCCTCTGGCTGCAGGAGATCAGCTACAGTTTGGAGGCAATCTCCAGACGTTACTCAGGTGATGTGCCTAGTGATGAGGACAGCAGTTTCAATCAAGAAAACTTTGCAAAGCTTGGCGCAAGGATAGGAAAGGGCTTAGGAGGCGTTAGTGAACTGTTTCGTCTACTTAGAGTAGCAAACGTTGGCAAAATCGCAGCACAAGCATCCAGGGCAGTACGAGTGGCAGAGGTAGCCACTGGTGCACTTTCTGCTTTATTTGTGGCAGCAGATATCTTCTTTATTGCCATGGATGCTAAAGAGATTCACCACATTAGGCAGACAACAGCAGATGGTCAAACACAATCTGAGATCATGAAATTCGTCCATTCCATCAGGCAGACTGCAGACGAGTTGCAGAAAGGTTTGGATGAGATCAAAAACCTCATTCAAATCATCCCCTCTCTTGAGGATGAGAGAGAGTTGGAATGGGAATGTATTTAAAGTTGTGTTGCTTCTGGGTCGTACATGTGTTTTATAAGATTTAGAGGGGAATATCCAAAGAAAAGTATTGTTAATCTATATTAATACAATAATACATGTGTTTGTGACAGTACTACTTGAAGAAATGCTGAATATTTATTGTGTTTAGAGTAAAAACAGCACCAACTCATGATGATAATAATGGTTATTAAGAAAGGACATTTAGGAGGATCTATATATTCCCTCCTAAGCTTCCTATTGGAAAATGACGTGCAATCAGCTGATTCCCTTCAATTGCATCCAATGGGCAAATGTCATTCAGGGCACCGTATTTAAGCTGCTTTAGCCTGCCTACCTTTGCTCCCTCCTCTGCAAGCCCAATGCAACCCACCCCCACCCCAGCTCTTCCTTTTATGCTGTATCTGATTTAATCAATGTAATTTATGTTGCCATTGATGCTAGCTCTGTTCTGTACCCAGTGGGGTCTTTGCTGCTGCTCTCCTTGTCTTAAGCTTTGTGTGCACATGGAAGGGCAGTGAGGTCCAAGAACAGAGCCACACCACCAAATATAACATTCTGCATTTGGAAATAAAGTTTTCTTTTGACAAACGTGGTCCTGACTGAAATATGTTCCACTTACTAAGGAGTTAAAGGATTGGCTTACAGGTTTTCCAGTCTATGTTTTTATACATAACATATTTTTATTGTTTTCAGAACAAAAGGCAGACCTCATCCTCATGTTATGAGCACAAATAATTCTTTTAAAGGTAAGCCCTCAAAAATTCTTCCGAAACATAATTGTGCCATAATATTAAAAAAAAAGTAATGAAGTTACGATGTTAAGAGTATTAAAGCATTGATTGTTTTGTAAATAATTATTTTAGATTTCGTTTGCAAATGGTGCAAATCTGACAGGATAGAAGGAATCACACAGGTATTTAGAGTCAGTCAACACATATCAATTCCATTTGCTGCATTTACGAGACCTAATCTGCAGATCTCCATAAACTGAATGTGTTTTTGAAAAATAAATGTGTCATATGTTTAAATATTTCATTTAAAACACACTCTGATTTTGTTATGCAGCTAACTTAAACGTGACAAAATACAAAAAGGGCCACTTGGTCCACAGTGATCTGACACCACAGGTACAGCAGATAGCTTTGTGAGCCACATATGGAGGTGTGGTATTAGATCACAGCCACACAACTTGATAAAAAAAACTTCTGTGTAGGATGCATTTAAGGAATTGGAAGATCCTCCATGATGGCGGAGGGGGAAGATTTTTATGTCGCAGGAGGAAAGAGGAAGCATAAGTTAGCGTAATGAAGAGCACCGATGTTGCATCAGAGACAAAGTAAAATAGACCATAAAGCAGGATATGCTTTAGGACGGTGCTACCTTGTGATTGACAGCTCATTCTCAGTGAGTCCGTCCAGCTCAACGCACTACACTCAGATTAAACTGTCAAAGTGGACAGTCTCGATCAAATATGAATCAAGATTATGTTACTGTATTGCCTATTTCTCACTTAAAAGCTTTTCAAAACACATATTTTAATGTACTGTTTATCTGTGATACAAGAACGTGTGTGACCAGGAAAGTCCCCATTGTTTCCTACTATGAGCAAGTTGAAAACTAAGCAGAGCCAATGAGAGCCACTTAACACACAGTGCATCACCTCTGCCGGCCCCGACTCTATGGCGACAACCATAACCATTTAAAACCGTACTCCACAAACCAATAGGTGACATCACAATATAGGTTATAGGTTAAATTAAGTGTCTGGAGTGTCAGTCACCTTATGTCCCACAAGCGTGTGCCTCTGCTACTCTCAACATGAATGTAAAGGAAATAGACTCAATAACAGTTAAGAACACCAGATCAGATCATAGACATGGACAAAATATTTGGTCCGTCAAAATAACACCACTCTACGTCTTCTGACCCCTTCATGTCAGACAGTCCATGGGCAATTAAAAATATTGTAGAGTCTGCCTTGTACTCATTCCCACTGACAGGACTGATCTATTTGTGGACGATCTGCCATTCAGATCTGTGTTTGGACAGCCTCTTTATGGGCGGACTTGAGCCGGAGCTTTTAATCAACATTTATTGGTATTTCATGTCTTGATGAACTCAAGACTTCATCCTCTCCCTGTGGTACGCAAACTCACCTTATTATAACAACTTCATTGTGAAGACAGCAATCGCCTGCCACACCACCTCTGTTCTTTCCCGTGTAAACTACGCTGTAACTAGGCAGGGCTGCTGTTATGAATAGAGAAATGTTTACCCCTGACGTGAACTATAACCCCTACATTTTGGAATTAAATGTCCAGAAGAAATAAAAACAAACTTACCGTTTGACCTTTTCTTCTTTTCAGAACATATTCTTCACAGAATTTGGAACTCTGCGCTTGGACAGATTTGTGAAAACCAAGGAAAAGTACTGTATAACTCCTTTAATTACAAATATAGTGTAAAGTATGTGAGGAATATACTGTATGCATAGATAAATGTTGTATTTCTTGTTTACACAGCAACACTAATGTGAATACTGCAGGAGGTGAAGCAGTTAACTATCTGGCACCAGAGGTCTTTGGAGGTGCAACGTGTGATGCTAAAAGGTAAAAAGCTTCATCTTCAATGTTTGTTAAGTTCTTTTACTTCACATTTAGATGCCAAAATGTCTAACAAACCTATCTACTTGTTTTGACATGTTTCTGCCCCTTAGTGGCAAAAAAAAAAATTAATGCATCTTCATGTGACGCTTCACTTTACTAGTACCTTTTCCTTTTTCTTCTGTACTACTACTAATAATATCAATACTTTCTTCATTTTGTAGTGACACTTGGTCAGTGGGATGCATACTCTATGAGCTCTGTACTCAGGAATTAGCGGTAAGTTACTCAGAGATGTGCATGTCATCAAAAATTAGTCATAAAAAAATGTATGAGAATAGAAATAAGACAACAGCTGAAATTGATAATAAAAACTTGCCTCTAATGTGGCGAACTTGGCTACACTACATATTATCTTTTTTTGTAAAACTCAAAATGGTAATGTCATGCTTATCACAGATCATTAGGACAACATTCAATATTCTGTAACTCTAATGGGGATAAAAAAACAAAAAAACTGAAAGACTTTTTAATTGATTAATCTGTGTTATAAATATAACATCAAATCTGATCTTGACAAAGGCCAATATTTGAACTAAATCTTGATTCTGACCCAACTGAAAGAAAAGAGAGTGTCTACTATGATCACATTATGTTTTACGGTAGTGTGATGCACTTGTAGTAAGTAATTGGTCATACGCACACCAGACTTGGGATTACTTTCCCTAATGTTTGTGATGAGTAATTGCAATGACATTACTTTTATATTATTTAATGATGATTATAATTATATCAAGTGGTTTCTAACAATAATTCTTCTTCAGTTCTCTGCAGAGACCACAGTCAAACTCATTGCCAGAATTATTTCTGGTCCTGTCCCTCGTCTCCAAGACAAGTGGTCATCTGAGTTTCAGGAACTCTTTAGTGACATTTTGCAGAGAGACCCTGACTCAAGACCTACAACCTGTGAGATTTTGGGGCGTCCCATTGTTTTACAATGTCTCCTAAAAAAGGTTTGACACTTTACAGAAATAAAAAAATTCTTTATCACAGATTCAAATCTTTCCCCAACTATGATCCTACAGAATAGGCACTTAGCGTAATATAGTAGTTGTATGTTTCTGACACTGACTATGTCTTTTGCATAGAGTAAAACAACTGCAGAGCACCTTCAGACTCAGTTGAGCAAGCTGAGAGCTGTGGCCGACAGTTTGGAAAGTGTGCACCAGGGCACCACCATCGGCAGTCTGACAGGAGGAGTGATCGGAGCAGCAGGAGGGATTACCTCCATCGTGGGTCTTGTTCTGGCTCCCTTCACTTTGGGAACTTCACTTATTGTCACTGGTGTGGGAATTGGGGTGGGTGTTGCTGGTGGGGTCACTGCTGGTGCCTCAAATATCACAAACATTGTCAATGAGGCCTCTGATCGCAAAGCTGTTCAAAGCATCATCAAAGAGTTTGATGAGAAAATGAAGGCAGTGGCCCTCTGGCTGCAGGAGATCAGCGACGGTTTAGAGGCAATCTCCAGAGGTTACTCAGGTGATGTGCCTACTGATGAGGACGGCAGTTTCAATCAAGAAAACTTTGCAAAGATTGGCACAAGGATAGGAAAGGGCTTAGGAGGCGTTAGTGAACTGTGTCGACTACTTCGAGTGGTAAACGTTGGCAAAATCGTAGCACAAGCATCCAGGACAGTACGAGTGGCAGAGGTAGCCACTGGTGCACTTTCTGCTTTATTTGTGGCAGCAGATATCTTCTTTATTGCCATGGATGCTAAAGAGATTCACCACATTAGGAAGAAAAAGGCAGATGGTAAAATACGCTCTGAGATCATGAAATTCGTCCATTCCATCAGGCAGACTGCAGACGAGTTGCAGGGCGGTTTGGATGAGATCAAAAAACTCATTCAAATCATTCCCTCTCTTTAGGATGAGAGAGAGTTAGAATGGGAATGAATTTAAAGTTATGTCTTGCTTCTGGGTCACTAAGGTGACATGAATACATGTGTTTTATAAGATTTAGAGGGGAATATCCAAAGAAAAGTATCAATAATCTTCAAGTGGGTTTATTTAATGTAACTTTCCAAAACAGAATGCCTCTATATACCATATCAGTTAATCATAACAGGCTTAAATTTGCATTTTTGTACTATTAACTATTTCCTCCATAGTTATAGTACTTAATTTACTTCTCTGAATCTACCTCTAAAGTGATTATCACGACTTACTATTTTGTGTGATTACATCTTGTTTTTAACTTTGATTGGATTGTCAATAATAATTGTATTTGTGATAGTACTCCTTGAAGAAATGCTGAATATTTATTTTAGTAGAGTTGTATTGTATTGGACATTTTCTTATTCAACTTTAATAAATTCTGCACCACAAATTTAGTATATAGATTTTTCTGGTAGTTGTGTAGTTGTGTACAATGTACAGTACAATCTGACAGGTTACATATTAATTTAATGTAAATTAGACAGTCACAAATAATGACTTGTTTTGATCTGATTGTAGCTCTGTGGTTGCTGGCAATTTGAACATAGAGTTGATTATTTTCTGTTTTCTTTTCATTATTTTGTACATTAATGTAATGCACAGTAAAAGCCCCTTTGTGTAGGGTTGAAAAAAATCTCAATTTGATGAGTTATAGTTGTGCACATGGCTGTACCCACAAATCTGACCGATGGATCCTGGACTTTTTTCCCAGTTTTTACCAGTATGGCCTCAAGAAAGAAATTTTGAAAGTAGATTTTTGATCATATACATTCTGCAAACATGTATTCTTATGAGTTATTTTCCAAGCTCAATTTCATCTTGGTAAATCTAGATAATTGTGTATAGACTTGCTGGTCGTCTCCTCAGTTAAAGTCGCTATAACCATATAAGTGCATTTATAATACATGTGATTATTCTATATATCCATACTGATGAAAATAAAGCAAGTTATAACACAGATTTCCGATCATATTACTTTTGTCTAGGTGTTTCTGTGACTCTGTGATTCAGTGCTGTTATCTCATAGCAGGGAGGGCTTAAGTTTAAATCTGTCTGGCTGGAGCCTTTAGTCAAAGTTTCCCCTGTGACTGTGTGGGTTTTCTCTGGTTTCTTCACATCATTTAAAATAAGATGTTCTTTTATTGATCCCCCGTAGGAGAAATTCCAGTTTTAACAGACATGCAGATTATGTTAAATGGAAAACGTCCATAGCTGCATGCAGAGGTGTTATTAAATAAAATAAATAAATCATTATTAGGTATAAGAATTGACCTCACTATTCTTACCTTACCTAAAATATGACAAAAATCCTGCAAATAGCCTCATATATTATTTGTATATTATTATAATATTATTATCCTGATCAACTGGAACTTTTACATCTATTTATTTTTGTATAAAAGTTACATAATAAGGCTTTAAACAGACTATTTATAAATGTTTCATGAGATTAAATGTTTGCCTGCAGGGGGGGGGCAACAGCGCCCTCTGGAGCGTGCGAGCTACCCAGAAACAGTAGCAGAAGAAGAAGAAGGCGGAAGCTGTGTCGCAGTGTTGTTTACATTGTTGAGTCGGTCGCTGGTAAACCGGAGCTAAAGAAAGCGGATTTAGTGGGATTTCTTTCTGTAAAATCACACATTTCTCAGCACAGTTTGGCAGCGGGCGTCGTGTTTCAATGGGTGCTCACGGGGTTTTGGGGAACGAGCCCGAATCTATCGATTATTCGGTGCACGAAGCCTGGAACGAGGCCACTAATGTCTACCTGCTGGTTATCCTGGTCAGCTTCGGCCTGCTGATGTACGCCAGAAAGTAAGCTCCGTTTGAACCCTTCACTCTGTCCCAAAGCTCATCATTGATGTGCTATAAGCGTTTGGTTCAGTTACAGTTATCCCTTTAACGTCCTCTCTAAAAATATAAAAAAGTTACGCCATACTCCATTCAAGAAATTCACATTTTAGTATTTACATGGTTTTATGGTTGTGTGCGCACTTTTTGTGGAATTATTTCATTAATAAAACTATTTTTTAGGGTCTTCTGGACAATTCGGCGTATATATATATAATACTCCAAACGTAATGTAATTTAATTATTAGTGTAATCTACTGTCAGAAATTGGGACAATCATTTTTTGCACATTATTAAACTGTACATTTGATCTTTTATATCTATATATATATCTATAGATATATATATATATCTATAGATATATATATATATGTATATGTATGTGTATATATATATATATTGTTCTTAATATATGTTGTTTGTATACCTGGAGTTTGTAACAGAAATAATTTCCCCCTGGGATTATTAAAGTATTTCTGATTCTGAAATAAATGATGATATTCTTTATCTCGATAGAGTTCAGTTCAAAGGGGCTTTATTGGCCAAAGCAAGTGTAAAATATATTAATGTAGAGATTAGTAAGAAGAAAAATACTTATAATAAAGAATAAATTAAATTAAAGGTACACTTAGTAGCCCTGTCTCCTTCTCCTAGGATTATTTTTAATCTGGGTGGTGATTTAGAGATTTAAACTATCTAAATGAGTTTAAATTGTTTAAATAAATATTCCTTATGTTATCAAATGTTTTACATTGCACTGTCTCTCTTTAACATCTCTCTCTTTGTCCACTTTTAATTTAGAAACAAGAGGAAGATCATGCGCATCTTCACTCTGCCCCCCCCGCCGGCAGCCACCCCGGAGCCCAACTTCTACGACAGCCTGCAGAAGGTCCGCCTGAGACAGCAGCTGGAGATGTACTCGCTGGGTGAGCATCAGTGGAGCTCTGGGCTGGTTTTACTGGATTGCACTGACACTCAACTGGAGAGATAATGGGGCAGATTTCCAATGTGATCAACTTGGGGTCAGCAGGGGGCCACAGAATGGTTGATAATAGGGTATATATATATGTATATGTATATCTTGGGTATAGTTTTCCAAATTTGGAGACATTTTTTTAAATTACCACAACATAAAGTCTAGTTTCACACATTCATATTAAGGCTTATAGTCCATAATGTATCGTTCATCCTTTCTTACTGTAGAGAAAAGAGATATAATAAGTAGTTAACAGGCATTGAACACCTCATAACTAGGTATGTATGAACTGTTTTATTATCTCTGCATATTAAAACAGTGAAATTAAGCCACACTTTGGACCATTTCTTCCTTGCTGTCATTAGAGTTTGAGTTCGACGTCATTGTTGTACCATTGCAGCTGTCAGAAAAACATGCTGGCTTGATTTCTTGATTATCTGTCATCCCTACTCATAGCTGGCAAACGCTTCTTATGTTTTAGTTTCAGTCTAACTAGGCGCCTGTGTTTCTTGTCATCTTTCGGGCTAATCTTGAGTTAAACTGTCTTCTGTTCTTCTTGTGTTTTAGCCAGAAAGTTTGAGCAGCAGCAGGGCCAGACGGACAGTGTGCAGCTGTCCATGGAATGAGAGCCGCAGGGGAACTCGAACCTTTCTGTCAGAGCAAACACTCCTGCGTCTTCAAGCACTCTGCACACACGGATAGGAAAGGACTCGGATTGGCTGTCGTGATCAGAGATCGTTCAGAGGCCGCTAACTCCTCTCCTGGTTGTTTCTGTTTGGCTCCTCCGATGAGGAGCGTCTTCATTCACCTTCGGTTGTCTCTTCTTCGTCTGTTATGCTTGGAGTAGGTGTCGCCGGATGGAGGGAGAAGCCAAGGGCAAAAGGGGGGGAATGTGGCATCGAGCAGTGAGTCTTCCTCCGCTTCGAGGAATGATAAACATGTAACTGCAGCAGATGTCCTTGAGATACTTTTTGTAAGGCGTGAGATTGAAGTCCACCATGAAGAATTTTTTTTTTTTGCACGTACAACAAATGTCCTTTAAATGTAACATAGTTTCTAGTTTCGTTTGTATTTTTACTCGTTTTTAAATGTTTTCTGGGTAGTAAAATCTAAATTCTTGTATGTGAAAATAAAGACACATTAACTGAAAGCAACTGGAAATGTTTTAATTATGAGACCTGAGTTAATTTAATAATGATGACGCTTCATTTCTCTCTGTGGCACAACTTCAAAAAATTAATCCAACTAGCCAGATGAAATAACCCCTCCCTTCAACCATCATTTCATCCAGCGCCACCAACTGGTCAGAATTTACTTCACTGGGATGTTTGAATTTCATTGTGCAGGATGTCATGTGCACAGTTTGACACTAGAGGGCAGTTTTCACATTCATTTGCTGAAGTAGGAAAGTTTCTCTGTGCTCACCTTAAATGTCAAACTTTAGAAATTAAAAGTAATTTATAGATTGTAAAATGTTCCAGTGAGGACGGAGTAGATGTAATTTAATAAAGTTTTAACTTCTTTGTGGAAGAAAACATTTCAGACACATTATTATTCCAAGCAGAGCCTTTTTATTTGTCTTAAAACATGTCTGGAGGGGATCTTCAACTGTTTCCAGTACTTTGGTTTATGAGCAGATACAAAACTACTGACATTCCCATCAGCCTCAGCTGTACTTTGAGTTTAGTGCTCATTAGTAAATGTTGCATGCTAACATACTAAACTAAGATGGTGAACATTATACCTGCTTAACATTAGCATATTAACTTTTACTGTTATCATGTTAGTTCAAAGCACCACTATGTCCGAGTACACAGAGCTGCTAGCGTGTAGAGTTGTTCCACAAATGAAATCCTCAATGTCTTAAACCAAAAGGAACTGCATGGAGAGGTAAGTATGAAAAGGTTTGGTAACTCTGGTCAACCAACAACACTTAAAACCACTATGACTCCATTAGTGGAACAATGTTTAACTCCTTTCATGGCACTCAAGAAGCTTTTAAAGATCACCAATCAGGTTTTATTTATACTGATCATACAGTAAACTGCTCCTGTTTCATCCACAGTCAGGAAGTGGAATAGTTTGAACTGATGCAGCAACAAGACCTCAG